CGGCGGCAGCGGCAGCAGGCGCCAGGGGTGGAAGGGGAGGGAGCCCGGGACCCGGCAGCCACAACGGCCGCAGCAGCCACCGCGTGACGCCACAGCGGCGGGGGCCACAACTGCCACAGGGGCCGCAGCAGCAACGGGGCCGGCCACCACCAGCCCAGCAGCAGGCAGGGGCACACCGTCGCCGGCCGCACCAGAGGAGTCGCCGGAGCCGGACTGGGTGGGAGCAGGGGTAGGGTAGTCATCAAAGGGCGACATGGCGCGAGGGGGGAAGCGCAGGCGGCGCTCCGCCCACACCTCAAGGCCCCCGCGCATGTGCACAGCGCCCTCACGCAGCACACCATGCGAGCGCGCCAGCAGGCGGGAGCGCGCAATGGGGGAGGCGGAGCGGGCGCGGTTGGGGGGCGGGAAGCAGGCCGAGCGCCCCCGGGAGCCCAGGCCATGGCCCCCGCCAGAGCTGGTGGGGTGCACGGCGGGGGCGAGTGCCTGATGCGCAGCGATGGTGGCGTCCAGCCGCGCGCCGGTGTGCACCACAATGGCGCGCGCCTGCCCCAGGGCGACAATGCCTGCAAGTGGATGGAGGGCGGGCACAGGGGAGGCGGCGCAAGCGACAGGCGCCCTGCCAGCACGCTCAACGCCAGCCACAGCCACCAGCAGCTCCGCGTCGGTGAGCGAGGCGGTGGGCAGCGCAGCCAGGCGGCCCGGGAAGGTGTCCCACCACGCCCGGAGGGCAGCGGGAGAGGCAGGCGGGGCAGGCGTGGGGTCAATCGCGGGGGGACGGGCCGGCGGCAGGCCGGCAAAGGGAGCAGGCGGCTCCGCCCCGCCAGCAGGCACAACACCCGTGGGGGAGCCGGCAGCAGACACGGCGCCGGCAGGCGGGGCGCCAGCGGCGGCGGCACCGGCGGCAGCCGCACCAGCGCCAGCAGGCGAGGTGCCAGCGGCGGAGGCGCCAGCAGGCGGGGCGCCAGCGGCGGCGGCACCAGCGGCAGCCGCAGCAGCGGGAGCAGGCGGCCGGCCGGCAGGCGCGGCGCCAGCCGGCGGGGCGCCAGTGGCGGCGGCACCAGCGGCAGCCGCAGCAGCGGCAGCAGGCGGCTGGCCGGCGGGCGGAGCGGGCTCGGTGGGGAACAGGGAGCGGCGCCACACCACGGCAGTACCTGGCTGCCCCGCCACCAACAGCTCGACCTCGCGAGGCAGGGTGTCGTCGGAGCGGCGGATCACCAGGGAGAACCGGTCAGAAGCCATGCCGCAGTCCAGATGGATGCGGGCCATGCTCGTGACGCATGGGTAGGCGGCGCGGAAGTGGGCGATGAAGGCGGCGGTGGGCACCTCGGCAGGCACACCGGACAGGTAGGCCTCCTGCTCATCAAGCAGACGGCCGTCGTGGATGGTGGCAGGGGGCGCGTCGGCCGGCCAGGGGGCCGGCAGCCGCACGCTGGTAGGGCGCAAGGGGTTGCCACCAGCAAGCAGCGCGTCGCGGAGCGGCGGCCGCATGGTGAAGGTGAGCCCCACCGCCACAGGGACGCGGTCGCCGAGCCGGCTGGCCATCAAAGGGTAGGGCTGGGAGACGACGGGCTCAGGGGAGGAGGGGCCACTGGCATCCGGGCCGCGCTCCAGGCGGGACAGCACCAGGGCGGGCCCAGCCAGCAGCACCAGCCGCTTGGCCTCCTCAATGCTCATACCAGGCGGCAGCTGGGCGCGGAGAGTGACGCGAGCGAACTCGGGCACTTTGGAGATGGCGATAGTGTGGCGGACTTTGGGTGGGCCTGGGGGCCCGGCCGCACGAGCAGCCGGACCCCAGGGGGCCCGCTGGGCACGAGGGGAGCCCCCAGCGCGCGCCTGAGGCCGAGGCCCCAAAGCAGGGCCGGGGGGCCTAGGGCGGATCAATACCGCTGCGTAAGACCCCATGGGGGTCGCGGGAGGGGTTGCTGGCCGCGGCGGCGGCTTCCGGGAAATTCTCGAAAAAAAAAAAAAAAAAAAAAAAAAAAAAAAAAAAAAAAAACGACGGACAACTGATTGACTGGAGCGATTTGTCACGTATATGTTAGACGCGAAATTCGCGGAAGGTCATGCACTCTGTCAGTGTGGTGAAGTGGTTCTCACACCACGTTGTGAGGTCGAACTCATGATGGGCTCAATGCCGTGGAGTCCCGAGTTCGATTCTCGGCACTGACAATCATTTTGACATTTTGTTTTATAATTACATTTACATTTCATGCATGCTTGGGATTGTTCACAGTCAGTGTGGGCAAACAGCTGCCTCACTTGAACAGCTGCCTTGCCCTGCCCCACCACAGCGCCGACATTGAGCGGGCACGGCCCCCAGGGCACGCCTCTGCAGCTTGAGGAGTGCAGCTCCCCGCGGGTGGACCTCTGCGCCGCCGGCAGCCGGCTGCCGCCCGTGCGCAGCCGGCACCCAGCAGCCAGGGGGATGAGGAGGAGGAGCAGGAGGCTGCCGCCAGGGGGATGAGGAGGCAGTGCAAGAGGTGCTGGCGGAGGAAGCCCTGCAGGCGCAGCCTCCGGCGGCGGCCCCACACGAAGCAGCGGCGGCTGAGCTGCATGCACCTTCCTTTCTAGCCTTCGTACATTGTAACTTTGATACAGTGCTCCAGGTCAAAGCACGGCATTGCGACTAGCGTGAAATGGGATGGCAGCCTCACGTGCGCGCCGCTGGCGGGGTGGCGGCGGCGATCACCTGGTGGCCCCCATCCTGCATCCTGCATCGCTCCCCCTCCACCCGGAGCTGCCCCTTTCCCAGCCTCTCTTCATCTGAGTAAAGGTTTCGAATCTTACAGGTTGCCAGGATGTGAGGATGCAGGCAGGATGAGAAGATAGCAGGTCGAGATAGGAAGGGAGGATGATTTCGGCAGCACAAGCCGTGTGAGCAAGGCAGCTCGTGGATTGAAGGAAACACCTCAAAAAGGCAGTTAAAAACGGCTGTCGCACCACCCGTCAGCTTGAAATTTGTTTGAACCTGAACGTTGTAAACGTACGAAATTAGATAGTACGCAGCGGAGAGGGAGAATAGGCGAGCACCTTACATTTGGTGGTGGTGCACGACTGGTACAAGGGTTAGTGCTGTACTCCTACACATCATGGCTGTGGCTGCAGGCGTGGCTGCCAGCCGCGGTCTGCGAGTGGGCATGCGCGTCGGCGGGGGCAGGTGCGGCCAAGCTGCACTTGCCTGCCGAGCAGCAGCTGGGCGCCTTGGCTGCGGGCAGCACCGCCGGGGCCGGTGTGGGGGTGGGGATGGCTGCAGCCGAGCTGCACTTGCCTGCGGAGCAGCAGCTGGGTGCCTTGGCAGGAGGTTGCTCTGCCAGCGCTGGAGTCTGGGTGTGGCTGTGGCTGTGGCCGGTACTGCTGCCACAGCCGGCTGGCTTGGGGGCAGGTGCAGCCGAGCCGCACTTGCCCGCCGAGCAGCAGCTGGGTCCCTTGGCAGCGGGCTGCTCTGCCGGGGCCGGTGTGGGGGTGGGGGCGGCTGCCGCCGAGCCGTACTTGCCCGCGGAGCAGCAGCTGGCCACCTTGGCAGGAGGCTGCTCTGCCAGCGCTGGAGTCTGGGTGTGGCTGTGGCTGTAACCGATACTTCTGCTGCAGCCGGCTGGCTTGGGGGCAGGTGCAGCCGAGCCGCACTTGCCCGCTGAGCAGCAGCTGGGCGCCTTGGCAGCAGGCCGCTCAGAGGAGTGGTCGTGGCAGCTGTTGCTGTGGCTGTGGCTGTCGCCGCCAGTGCTGCATTTGGTGCCACACTCGGGGCCCTGGCTGTGGCATGCTGCCGCGGCTGCCGGAGCCGCGCTGCAGCTGCCCGACGTGCAGCAGTCCTTCTTGGCGGCAACCGGCTTGCTGACGGGCCAACGCCACTTGAGCAGCCTGCGGGGCACGGCGGGCGCGTGTTGTTTTGCTGCGGCGCTGCCCGCTGCTGGCAGCCAGCCCCTCACTGAGCTGCCCTGGTCCAAGGCTCTCGTGTGGAGCAGGCCATCGATGGGCGTTGAATGGTGCCAGGCTGGGAGCGGGGTGCAGGCCACACAGGCCCACACATCCGCCACCACCACCACCGCCACCCCTGCCGCGCCCACAGCCGTATATGTGATCGAACACACACGCCCCCCCACCCACACCCACACACACACACACCTCAGCGCATTGGCCACCACCAGCAGCGAGGAGCCGACATCCACCTGCAGTCAGGCGGGCAGGCAGGCGGTCAGGCAGGCGGTCAGGCGGTCAGGAAGGCAGGCAGGCCGGCAGGCTGGCAGGAAGAATGGCGGGCGGGCAGGGAGCCACGGGTTCAACCAGCCGCCGGCCCCACACGCCGGCAGCCCAGCGCAGCGCACGCCAGCAAGCAGCCGAGGATGAAAAGCTGACGAAAAGTCCACAGGCTTGCAAGAGCACGGGTCGGGGACCGGGGACAAACATCACAGGCACCCGGAAGCCCAGCAGCCAGGTACCAGCCCCGGCAGCTCAGCCCAGCGGCGCGCCCAGCAGCCACACACGCCCCAGCCCACGCACCAGCACCGCGCCCCACAGCGTGAAGCGCCCCATGGCGGCGGGCACCAGCACCGCCACCTTGGTCACCACCGCAAAGCCGATGTTCTGCCAGATGGTGGCGCCGGCGGCGCGCGCCAGCAGCAGCGCGGCGGGCACAGCGCGCACGTCGTTGGTGAACAGCGCCACTGCGGGGGGCAGGGGCAGGCAGGGGGGGCGGCGGGGGTTAAACAGCACCGTGTGTATAAAGAGCACCACGTGTGTATATATATACGGCTCTGTGTGTGTAAAGAGCTCTGTGTTGGGGGCACCATGGTGCGGGCACGTGCGTGCATAGAAGCAAGGCCGCCCCCTGCCCCAGGATCGTGGGCCTGCCCGCGCGGCCCATCAGTAGCGGTGTGGCTGCGACACGCGCAGCGTCGCGGCGGCTACCAGCACCGCGCCGGCGGCTCACCCGACCCCGCCTCCAGCGCCGCCGCCGAGCCGGCCATGCCCATGGCTATGCCGGCGTCCGCCGCCGCCAGCGCGGGCGCGTCGTTCACGCCGTCGCCGACGTGCGCCACCCAGGCGCGGGGGCGGCGGCCGGCGCTGCCGCGCCGCCGCAGGCAGCAGGCCG